AATGAAAAAGAAAATTTTAATCTTCTGTTTAGTTGCCTTTTATCCCATTAGTGGTTCGCAGCAATTAAACAAAAATTAAAAGAATGCAAAAAATTAAAGGTATGTTTAAAAGTAATTCATTCTCCTCCCGTACGTGAAAATTGACGCTTAATTAAGCGTGAAATGTTATATGCGTGAGTGAGTACCCTAAAGAATTAAACTAAACTGCATTAAATCTACTTTATAATAACGAATATATTTGATTACGCTTTGCTTAACAAACGATTAAACCTAAACGATCCTTAAAGATACGTGGTCACTTAAAAATAATCCTATTTACCTCGTCTCGAATTCTATCATGCTAAAAAGTTTCGGAACACAATTATACATTGCTTATAAATGAAACCCTATCACTCACTCATTTACCCCATTACAGGCTACAATGTAATCATTTTTTTGCTTTTTTCTTTAAATTAACACATTGCGACTGATTTACGCGTGCCACCCTTATACCGTCAGTTAAACTGTCTCAGAAAGACGAAACTAAGGAAATTACAACGAATGAAAGATCACCTTAAATTAAAATTAAAAATGAAGAAACTCCTCTTTATGAAACTACGCACACTCCCATTCGTAAGTATTGGGACACTTGTTCAATGTCGAATAAATCCAAACGGTCGTTAAAATGTATTCAATACGGAATCTCGTGATATAAGAAGCACGTATATATTTACTGATGTATCGTCACTTTAACACTACCACCAGATAATTCGTACTTCGTTCACAAATTCTACAAAAAAAAAAAAAAAAAAAAAGGCAATAATTAAATTTTCCTATATTTCGTTTCACCTCCTTCCCCAATTTTCACCGAATAACTGTATCAGAAGTCGTGTTTTCCTTGCAACAGTGATACGCTAAAAGTTAGGTAACTCTAGCAACATTTGGAAATATTAAAAGTGAGTAAGTTTAAAATCAATTCCACGTTCAATCATGAAACTCGTTAAAATAAAACATCTAGCTGTAGTATCTAAGAAATGTCACTTAAATCATAAGAGAACAACAATAGGTGTCCTAATACTTAAGAACAGCAGTGCACACGTGTATACGTAAAAATTTATTCAATCACAATACTTGTGCCTCCTTTTTGTTTAAACAGAATCTCCTAAAGAAAGCACACCCCATCATCCTCAATGTGTTAACAACGTACATCAATCACTTACACATGAATAAATAAAAAATTACAACAAGCTTACCCGTTCCGATGTTTCTTATTGTCGTGGCTTGATTCGACGTCGACAACGAGATTGCCGGCATTCTGCTGTGAGTGATTCGAATTGTGATTCTCCACGTAAGGATTATGCGTGCTGTTGTGATTGTTGTGATGATGGTGGTGATGGTGGTGCTGCTGTTGTTGCTGCTGCTGCTGCGGTTGTTGTTGCTGCTGCTGTTGCTGTTGTTGTTGCGGTTGCTGAAGCTGCTGCTGCGCTTGTTGTTGCTGTTGTTGTTGTTGCTGCTGCTGCTGTTGCTGCTGCTGTGGCTGTTGATGATGAGGGAGATGATGGTGTGACGTGGAGTGAAGTGCGGTCAGATGGGCCGAGTTCGCGCCAGCCGAGGGTGGCGTTACTCGCGTGCTTGAGATCACGGGACTCCCCCGGGAACCTGCCGAGTGATTCCCGTTCGTCCTGTTGTTTTCCAGCGGTTCCTCCTCTGAAACACAAAGAGATCGTCCTCTTCTAAAAACTAGTCGTTGTTGAATTTTTTTGGGGGGGATTTTAGATGAGTTGATCTAACAGAGAAATTGAGACGATCGGTTATTGTTCCTTTCTTAAATGTCGTACCTTCATTGAAGAGCAATTGTATTAGGCCAGGTGCATACGAAATATTGGGTTCCTCAGAAGAATAATGTGTTTAGTGAAAATGATTTTCGTTGAATTCTGTACACTTTTAACCCTTCGACAGTTCATCCCGAGCGAGACACGGGCAGTGCGTTAAATAACGAGTAATTTCACTCAAGAGAGACTTTTAAGGAGAAAGTTGGAAAGGGACGAGATATTATCAGAACTGTGATAATAATACGCGTAAAATATGAACTTTATTCACTCCAATTCGTAATTACATTAGACTGTCAAAGGGTTAACTAGTTTCACTATTCGAAATTTGTAAAAATCAGTGTTTGAATAAAAAAAAGAAAATACTTTGAACGCTACTTTTACGGTGTCTTCATTTCGGGATAATTGATTTGTCGATAGATCGTTCAGGTGTTTGACGAAACGGACCGGGCAAAATTTAACATACGGTATCGATCTGCCAATTTCAGCTGTTGAAATAACGAAAATTCGTTTGCACCGGCCTAACAGAAATGCACTATGTCGGTTCTTGTA